CGGTTTTCACATGTGCAGAATTGCATGAGTCAATTAGCAGGTAATGTAGCTCTTTCATGAGGTGGAAAATGTACCCTGAAAGCACACTAAAAGAAAACCTTAGGACTTGTTCTGTGAAATGCATACAACTTATTTTGTCTGATTTTTTCTGTTTTTGTTGAGCAGGGGGGTTAAAAATGCATAGGTGCACTGAAAATGGATGCATAAACAACCCAATATCCCCCATATTTCAGGTGTCAAATACCCCCTAGTAGTAATTGATGAATGTATTATAGTTGGATATTTACAAAATTCACAATTTTATCTTTCCATTGATATGCAGAAGTCTATGTAACAAGCCTCCATTTTATTTTTTTATAGGGGTCAGTTTTGCTTGTCCCTCACCAAGTAACGTCCTGATAACGTCATACATAAAACTGTGTTTTGCACCCTTAAGGAGTAGCATTTGATGACATTTCCCACATTTATTTGCATGTAAGTTCATAGAAAATTGCTTTATTTGTTTTAATTTATGTAGTTAACCACACAATATAATCTCAAGTTGACACTGTGTAAGGCATAATGCCTATTAGATACATGTTCCATAGAATTTATACATATGATAAGGATTCAGGGGCTAAAGTTGTTATTTTACATTATGACGCAACTGCATTGTGACATCAAAGTGTGACGTCATGTCAAAAATGGAAGCTTCGCAAGGTCATGACCTTCAATTTAATTGATCGCAAATGAGAATATGTATCTTCTGTATAGATATACATGTGACATAGAACTATTGAGTATCTAGTTAGGGTGACACCATCCAGATTTTTGAGGCAATCTTCTGATTTAAGACAGTGACTATTTCCAATTAGCCCCCCCCCCCCCCTTGTTTATATACAGAAACTAGCAATATCTGTAAAAAATTGTTTGGCAGCTTTTCAAAAAAATTATAATGTAACATTTTATTGATATTCAAATACTGTATATTTCATACTTTGTGTTTTTGAAATTGAAGAAAAATAAAATTATTGTGTGAGTTGATTCGGTTAGGTTTGAATTTCTCTTCGAAGTCCTGTTTTATGCGTCGACCGATGTCGTAGACATGTAATACTAAATTTACAATTACTTGCCCATTTCTGGACCAAATTCAACAATTTATGCACCAAAATGTTTGGAATTCTGTCCTTTTTGCACCTAAATACAAAAAAGTGAATTGCAAAAAAAAATTATTTCCTTTAAGGTAGCTAAACACAGTTTCGTATAAAATCCAGGGGGTTTTTTCCCAGAGAGAAGCATGCTGGGTAGGGATTTTCCTGCTATTTATAGGAGTCTAGATAAAAACTGCATCATTTTTGTTTTTATTCACATAAAGTAGAATCTTATCTTAATATTTAAAGAAAAAAATGTGCATTCATTTTTAGAAAAAAAAATTTATGAGACTTTTTAATAAGGGGAGATAACTCCCAAAACATCCGGTTTTCACATGTGCAGAATTGCATGAGTCAATTAGCAGGTAATGTAGCTCTTTCATGAGGTGGAAAATGTACCCTGAAAGCACACTAAAAGAAAACCTTAGGACTTGTTCTGTGAAATGCATACAACTTATTTTGTCTGATTTTTTCTGTTTTTGTTGAGCAGGGGGGTTAAAAATGCATAGGTGCACTGAAAATGGATGCATAAACAACCCAATATCCCCCATATTTCAGGTGTCAAATACCCCTTAGTAGTAATTGATGAATGTATTATAGTTGGATATTCACAAAATTCACAATTTTATCTTTCCATTGATATGCAGAAGTCTATGTAACAAGCCTCCATTTTATTTTTTTATAGGGGTCAGTTTTGCTTGTCCCTCACCAAGTAACGTCCTGATAACGTCATACATAAAACTGTGTTTTGCACCCTTAAGGAGTAGCATTTGATGACATTTCCCACATTTATTTGCATGTAAGTTCATAGAAAATTGCTTTATTTGTTTTAATTTATGTAGTTAACCACACAATATAATCTCAAGTTGACACTGTGTAAGGCATAATGCCTATTAGATACATGTTCCATAGAATTTATACATATGATAAGGATTCAGGGGCTAAAGTTGTTATTTTACATTATGACGCAACTGCATTGTGACATCAAAGTGTGACGTCATGTCAAAAATGGAAGCTTCGCAAGGTCATGACCTTCAATTTAATTGATCGCAAATGAGAATATGTATCTTCTGTATAGATATACATGTGACATAGAACTATTGAGTATCTAGTTAGGGTGACACCATCCAGATTTTTGAGGCAATCTTCTGATTTAAGACAGTGACTATTTCTAATTAGCCCCCCCCCCCCCCCCCCTTGTTTATATACAGAAACTAGCAATATCTGTAAAAAATTGTTTGGCAGCTTTTCAAAAAAATTATAATGTAACATTTTATTGATATTCAAATACTGTATATTTCATACTTTGTGTTTTTTAAATTGAAGAAAAATAAAATTATTGTGTGAGCTGATTCGGTTAGGTTTGAATTTCTCTTCGAAGTCCTGTTTTATGCGTCGACCGATGTCGTAGACATGTAATACTAAATTTACAATTACTTGCCCATTTCTGGACCAAATTCAACAATTTATGCACCAAAATGTTTGGAATTCTGTCCTTTTTGCACCTAAATACAAAAAAGTGAATTGCAAGAAAAAATTATTTCCTTTAAGGTAGCTAAACACAGTTTCGTATAAAATCCAGGGGGTTTTTCCCAGAGAGAAGCATGCTGGGTAGGGATTTTCCTGCTATTTATAGGAGTCTAGATGAAAACTGCATCATTTTTGTTTTTATTCACATAAAGTAGAATCTTATCTTAATATTTAAAGAAAAAAATGTGCATTCATTTTTAGAAAAAAAAAATTATGAGACTTTTTAATAAGGGGAGATAACTCCCAAAACATCCGGTTTTCACATGTGCAGAATTGCATGAGTCAATTAGCAGGTAATGTAGCTCTTTCATGAGGTGGAAAATGTACCCTGAAAGCACACTAAAAGAAAACCTTAGGACTTGTTCTGTGAAATGCATACAACTTATTTTGTCTGATTTTTTCTGTTTTTGTTGAGCAGGGGGGTTAAAAATGCATAGGTGCACTGAAAATGGATGCATAAACAACCCAATATCCCCCATATTTCAGGTGTCAAATACCCCCTAGTAGTAATTGATGAATGTATTATAGTTGGATATTTACAAAATTCACAATTTTATCTTTCCATTGATATGCAGAAGTCTATGTAACAAGCCTCCATTTTATTTTTTTATAGGGGTCAGTTTTGCTTGTCCCTCACCAAGTAACGTCCTGATAACGTCATACATAAAACTGTGTTTTGCACCCTTAAGGAGTAGCATTTGATGACATTTCCCACATTTATTTGCATGTAAGTTTATAGAAAATTGCTTTATTTGTTTTAATTTATGTAGTTAACCATACAATATAATCTCAAGTTGACACTGTGTAAGGCATAATGCCTATTAGATACATGTTCCATAGAATTTATACATATGATAAGGATTCAGGGGCTAAAGTTGTTATTTCACATTATGACGCAACTGCATTGTGACATCAAAGTGTGACGTCATGTCAAAAATGGAAGCTTTGCAAGGTCATGAACTTCAATTTAATTGATCGCAAATGAGAATATGTATCTTCTGTATATAGATATACATGTGACATAGAACTATTGAGTATGTAGTTAGGGTGACACCATCCAGATTTTTGAGGCAATCTTCTGATTTAAGACAGTGACTATTTCCAATTAGACCCCCCCCCCCCCTTGTTTATACAGAAAGTAGCAATATCTGTAAAAAATTGTTTGGCAGCTTTTCAAAAAATTTATAATGTAACATTTTATTGATATTCAAATACTGTATATTTCATACTTTGTGTTTTTTAAATTGAAGAAAAATAAAATTATTGTGTGAGCTGATTCGGTTAGGTTTGAATTTCTCTTCGAAGTCCTGTTTTATGCGTCGACCGATGTCGTAGACATGTAATACTAAATTTACAATTACTTGCCCATTTCTGGACCAAATTCAACAATTTATGCACCAAAATGTTTGGAATTCTGTCCTCTTTGCACCTAAATACAAAAAAGTGAATTGCAAGAAAAAATTATTTCCTTTAAGGTAGCTAAACACAGTTTCGTATAAAATCCTGGGGGTTTTTCCCAGAGAGAAGCATGCTGGGTAGGGATTTTCCTGCTATTTATAGGAGTCTAGATGAAAACTGCATCATTTTTGTTTTTATTCACATAAAGTAGAATCTTATCTTAATATTTAAAGAAAAAAATGTGCATTCATTTTTAGAAAAAAAAAATTATGAGACTTTTTAATAAGGGGAGATAACTCCCAAAACATCCGGTTTTCACATGTGCAGAATTGCATGAGTCAATTAGCAGGTAATGTAGCTCTTTCATGAGGTGGAAAATGTACCCTGAAAGCACACTAAAAGAAAACCTTAGGACTTGTTCTGTGAAATGCATACAACTTATTTTGTCTGATTTTTTCTGTTTTTGTTGAGCAGGGGGGTTAAAAATGCATAGGTGCACTGAAAATGGATGCATAAACAACCCAATATCCCCCATATTTCAGGTGTCAAATACCCCCTAGTAGTAATTGATGAATGTATTATAGTTGGATATTTACAAAATTCACAATTTTATCTTTCCATTGATATGCAGAAGTCTATGTAACAAGCCTCCATTTTATTTTTTTATAGGGGTCAGTTTTGCTTGTCCCTCACCAAGTAACGTCCTGATAACGTCATACATAAAACTGTGTTTTGCACCCATAGTCGTAAAACTTGTATAATTATTTTCGCAATAATAATGCATATAAGATTTTTGATGTAAGGGATAATACAATGTTAAGCTTCAGTCTCATTTTATCTTTTATAGAAATTGCCATAGTCGTAATCAAAAGCATTTCTGGTAATCATTAATCATGGTTTTTCCAAAGCTTTAAATTGACCTTAAACTCTTCCTAACGTTAAGCGTTTAAACGACATCGTTTATTTCAGCGTGGTGTGTTTCGTCTTGTCATATTTTGTTTAACCGGCAACAACAAAAATGAAGATTGAAGAGGTTAAAAGCACGACAAAAACCCAGAGGATAGCTTCCCACAGTCACATAAAGGGTCTAGGACTTGATGAGAATGGCTATGCAATTCAATCAGCAGCCGGTTTGGTTGGACAAGAACTTGCTAGAGAGGTATCCAATCAAACTTTGTTTATTTCTAGATGTTTCCAACAAGATTATTGCGAATACTAGACTTCTGTTTAAAATAAAATCCTGAATTATTCACAAAGTTGGTAAAAACAGATATAGTCATGTCTATCCCTTTAAACTGTCTACACAATAAAAACTGAAAAGTATTTTTTTCCACCATCTCTCCAAATTTGTATGTTTATGGAAACTAAAGATTTATGCCAGTTAAATGAATCTATTTATATATTGATTTAATCTTCTACTATATATGTATACAAAACACCATGAAAAAGTAAACACTTAGAAATAGTATCTTGGATCCTTCCGTAAGATACTAATCCCAAATTAGTCCGAAATATGCGATGTTTTACGGCTTTTTCGATTTTGATATTTTATGTGCCAGGAAAACCTCAGAGCCGACGCCATAATGAAAACTGGAAAGTATGCCATCTCCAACCGGAGCCTATTTCCGATACTTGTGAACTGAATTTTAAAAATGTAAAATTTACAACTTATCAATAACACAATGCCTTTAGTACTCACCAATATCGATGAAAAGAAAATATCACTCCATATTTCATAGGGGTGTGCAATATTACCGTTATATCGGGTATATTGCGGTATTATCCACCACGATAATATATCGCGATATGAAAATCAGATACCGGTATTTTACGATATTTATAAAAATATATAAAAACCTCCTTTATTATAGAAACTGCTAAAATAAAACTGGAAACTTCTAAGGCTTTTTTTCTTGTTGAAAGAATACTTCGTAGCTTCGTTCGGGAGGGAGAGAAAGAGAGAGGAGAGAGAGAGGAAGCTTTCAATTCACTGTTGCAGTTTTGAATATCTTACTTTAAAATCAAATTAATAATTAATAAAATTTATAAGAAAGAAAATATATAAAACAATTTTACAGGGTGTATTATATACCATGAGTAATGGTGTTTCTCAAAATCTCACATGGAATCTACACGATCGACATAGTGATGAAATGTCAAGTTCAATATACATGTACATATTACAAGTAAATGGTCACTTGTAGCAGTGTTGCTTTAATTATTTTTTAATAACTTTCATGCCATTTTAAACACCTCATGCTACACTAGGAGCCTGTATATTAAAACAGTAGATTATAAAGATATAGGCCATTTCCTGTTTGTATGTTTTGATGTAAAATTAGGTCGGGTTAGACTAAAACACCGAAACGCACGGAAACGGGTCACAATTTCTTTCTGGTTTTAATTTTATTCTGTAACCACAATAAAATTATTTTCATATAGGCCTAGTATGTATATTGTTTTAATATTTAATAAGATTTTATGCTACTTCATTAAGACCCCCCCCCCCCAAACAAAAAATTAAATGAAAAAAAGATTATATAATCTGTAAAAACTTTTTTATTTCAATTTGAAAATTCTCCAAGAGAGTTCATCTTGTTTTACTATTTTACCTGGTATTTGATTAAAAGTAAAGTGTTAATTAGGTGTGCAATCAATGTCTTATCCCCCCACCCCCTTTTAAACTTAAAGATAAATTCAAATACTCTTTGAACTTGACAGCGTTTCAAACATTCTGCTCAAATTTATTAAATTTAATGATAATTAATCTACAATATATTGCAATATATTGCAATATTCAAAGTAAAATATTGCAATATATCGCAATATGGTTTTCCTTCGCAATACCCAACTCTAATATTTCAATCAGATCTTGCAAGATTTTAAAATGCAAGAAATAAAAAAAAAAATTTGACGGTATCATATATATTTTCACCAGACTGTATATTTCGTAAACTAGCAAATAAAAAGGATGTTGGCGAGTACTAAAAGCATTGTACCAAATGAATGATAAGTTGCGGTTTGAGCATTTAAATCAGTTTGCATGTATGGCTTCCAGGTGGAGGTGGCAATTTCCCAGTTTTCATAATGGTGCTGGTTCTGACATTTTCCTGGCAGGTAAAATATCAAAATTGCAAAAAGGCCTGGAAAACATCAGATATCATATTTTGGACTATCCCCACATGATGCAAAGAGATGCTTGCACTGTGAGCTGTAGCCACAACACCTGGGCAAAAAGATAATTCATACTTCAGGGCTCTCACACCACTTTTTGGGACTGGGGCCGGGGCTGTTCAAATTGGGAAAATTATCGTCATTTTGGGAAAAGTTGGATAACCAACATTCATTTAAAAAAATCCTCAAATTTTGCTTCTCTAGCATTTTGTCATCAATTTAACTCTGGTTTTGAATAAACAGTTAAACAGAACAAACATGGGTACGTAGGCTATTTATGAAAGTACATTAGCTTAGTCATTACTATCTTTGAGTGTTGATATTGCAGTTATTTGTCTTTCTGAGTGACATCGATCGTCACATAGTTCCGAATTTCCTCGATCACATGGACAACTTTGCTTACCAATACAGCACGAGACTGAACATGCCGAAGCATGGGTATGTTTCTAGGTGCAGCTTACTAATGTTTATATGAAATGTCTATTTTTGAAACCAAAATGATGTTTTTTGTTGAAACTACATGACAAGATACTCTGCACTCATAGTTCGTACACATTTTTGTAAAAACAATAACCTGGTTCCCCGAACCAGTTTACGAATGCATTTGCGAACTAATAAAATAGTCGTACCATTTCACTTTCATTTGGAAGTGTGTTTTGTTTGGGGTTTTTGTCTGCAATTAAGTTTCATGGACTTTTATTTTTTAATTAAAATTTTGCTATGGAAATTGGGAAATTTACACCTGTAACGTTTTTCTCTCTGTGTTCAGTCCACGTCACAAAATATTGTGGATCCCGTGTAGAAAGTCAGAAACTCTAGATCTTTATAGATCTAATATCAGAACAACGACAAAGTTTGTTTTAACGAGTGTATTAAAAGTATTTCAACGTAGTTAACAATCCAGTACAAGCAATTTATCTCAAGTATATCTGCTCACTGACTCTCTCTCCTTATATACCCTGCCTGACACCTAACGTGAATTAGGGCACCTCGTTAGGGCGTTAGGCTCCATCATTAGGGCACCTATTAGGGCGTTAGGCTCCATCATTAGGGCACCTGTTAGGGCAATCGGCTCCATCATTAGGGCACCCTGTTAGGGCAATCGGCTCCAAGTATTATAGGGCCTCTGCACCATAGTTAGGTGTCAAGACACAATATATTCATAGTATCTGATAAGCACCATGTTAATTAGGACACTAATTAGACTGCCAAGATAAGGGCGGTAATCAGGTACCATGATTAGGGCTTATCAAATAAACAAATAATGATATTCCTATTTTATTAACAACCGTATTAAACATATTTACATATATAAACAGAAAAAAACATTACATTGGCCTCTCCTTTTGAGACATGACTTCCATTGTCATTAATATTTAAAACATGAACATGAATCATATGTAATCAGTGGTAATGTAAAAGCAAGTTATAAAAATATAGTAAACAAATATCATTGGCAAGAAAATTACCTTAAAAAAAAAAGGTAAATATATCACTTTTTCATTTGAACACATGAAATAAAACACATTGTTTAAAAAATAAAAAAAAAAATTATTAACAACACATGTAAATTGATAAAAACACAATCCGAAAATTGACTAGTAAAAAACAGTCACAATATTAAAAAAAAACAAATGATGAAACAAAAACAAATTCATATCAAATAAAATGTCACAAGCTTATATCAAAAGTTCAACTTTTTGCACAGGTGTACGTATACGTCACTTCTAATGGGGACACTGGTGGGACATCATACAAATATTCTGCGTCCTGGTCTTCTCTTTCATGGTCAGCTTGAGCGTGGGCCATTATCTCGCTTTGCAAATATTCGAAGAAATTTGTCCAATCGATTTCATCAGGGCGGTAATGCAAGGAGGTTGAGATATTGTGTTGCCTGCGGACTGATGTTATGCCATTCACAGTCCTTTTTGTAGTTACCAGACTGATCGTGATAGTTTCTACAGTTTCTGTTACATCTCGGTTCTCATCTGGCTGCGGACTTGGAGATTCTATGGATATATCATCATAAATCGGTTCTTCTTCTAAAGGCAATTGCGGTGGTACACTATTTGCTGGTTCCGATGCGATAGCTTCATTTATTGGGTGTTCTTCAGAAGGTATCTGCGGTGGTAATGCGCTACTTCCTGAATTCTGGCTATCCATTTCCTCGATGTAACGATCTAGAAATTCTAGATCAAAATCCAAAGTTTCTTGATCATTTTCGTTAACATCAATCTCTAAGATATCTTCTAGGGTTGTGATTTTGTCCTCTTCTTTAGAACAGTTATTGTTAATTTCTTGACTTGTTCTGCTCTGCTTTTGATTTTCTCTTTTCTTTGCCCCTTTTATTTCAGTCTTCTGCTTAACCTCTACGGGAATCGTCCTTGCCACACTTTTCGCTTCTTCTACACTTAAACCATGGAATTTTTGCAGATGCGACGCAAGATATTCCATCCGAAATGAAAACACGCTGCAACCTTCTATGGGGCATCTTCTCACTTTTACTTCTTCTGTGTGCCTCTGGTTTTCATGTCTCCGTAAGTTCCTTGTGTTTGCGAATACTCTTCCGCATTCGGTACATTTTACCGCTCCTTCTTTGTCCATTATATTATCGATGTAGTCTTCTAATTTCTTTGGCTTTCTGATTGCTCGTCCCGTCCTTGTTTTGAATGTAATCTGAGCTCGATTGTTTCCTGCGCCCAATCTTAATTCGGCGTCTGTGCCCGATCTCAAATCGGCGTCTGTGCCCGAACTTAATTCGGTGTCGGTGTCTGATGTGGACCCCCCTGAGCGATCTTCTAGCTTATCTGCGTCATCCGTCTGGGTTTCATTTCTTGGACTATTTTCTTTGAAACTAATTTCTGGTGATATTTCTACATCAGCGTTGTTTTGGAAAATATCCAGGCGAGGTAATTCTACAGGCGTTTCATTTCCCGCAGTTTCTGGAGGAAACCAATTAATTTTCTTTTCTCCTTTATATGGTTT